TTTTTTTTTTTTTTTTTTTTCCAAGACAGGATTTCTTTATGTAGCCTTAGGTGTTTCCAGAACTAGTTCTGTAGACCAGGCTGGCCTTGAACTCACAGAGATCCACTTGCCTCTCTGCTTCCTGAATGATGGGACTAAAGGCGTGCCCAGCTTTTTTTGTTCATTAGCTTTTCTCCACAGTGTCTCTATGTAGTCCTGGTTCTCCTGTGGCATCAAGTGGATTTTGTTGGCCTCTTCTGAGGGAGGTTAGAATTAAACATTCTGGTTAATGTACGGTGACCTGGGGCTGAAGAGATGGCTCAGTGTTTAAGTGTTCTTCCAGAGGACTCTGGTTTAATTCCCAGCACCCACATGGCAGCTCACAACTGTAGCCCCACTTCCAACTCCTATGGTAAAACACCAATGCACATAAAAAAAAATGTAGGAGACCTATAGCTCCTACCGTAGATTAGTTAATCCCAAATAGAGGAAGCACAGACTATACCTCTGGAACAGTAGCTGAAAGCTCAACTCTATCAATCCAGGCAGCTTTAGCAGAGGAAGCTACCCTCCAATTAATATACAATTGGTAGGACCTGAGACATTCTTAGGATTAATATAAAATAGGTAACATGCGTGGGTAGATGCAGTGTGTACGCATGTAGAAGCCAGAGTGCTGTTCTTCATGAGTCGTCCATCTTGTAAGCCCCTTGTAAGAATCTGCCTAACCCTTCCACCACGGTGGGACTGGGATTACAAATGTAGGCTGCTGTAGCCCAGGTTTTAAAAGGGAAATGCCTTTGTGTGTGCATGGCAAGCACACTGAGCCATCTCTGCAGTCACCACTCCTTTTTAATTTCAGTTTAAGATCTTTATTGTATTTTACTTAGGGGGGAATGGGGGACATTTATACCACAGTACATGTGTGGAGGCCAGAAGACAACTTCAAAAGTCAGTTTCAGGGATTAAACTCAGGTCCCCAAGCTTAGTGGCAGACACCTTTGTCCACTGAGCTATCACACTGTAGCCAAGGCTAACCTGGAGCTCCTGATCCTTCTGCCTGTACCTCCCAGTGCACCAACTTGCCCAGCCCTAAATAGCTTTTTGGGGGGCAGGGTGTGGTGCCAAGAAAGGGTTTCTCTGTATACCAGAGCTCTGAGCACTGTCCTGGCAATTGTTTTATAGACCAAGACCAGGCTGGCCTAGAACTCACAGAGATCTGCCTGCCTTCTGCTTTCTGAGTGCTGGAATTAAAGGTGTGCACCACTAAGTCCAGCTAAATTAAATTTTACATATAGGGGCTGGAATGACAGCTCCATGATTGAGAGCACTGCCGGACAGTGGTGGTGCACACCTTTAATCCCAGCACTCGGGAAGCAGAGGCAGGCAGATCTCTTGAGTTTGAGGCCAGCCTGGTCTACAAGCGCTAGTTCCAGGACAGGCTCCAAAAGTCTTGCAGAGGCTCCAGGTTTGGCTCCCAAAATCCATATTGTGGATCATTGTACCTGGCACTTTCATTTGGGCCATCAACATGGTACAGAGACTTAGTTTTAAATGTTCAGTCTAGCTTAGGCATGTTTCTGACTGCCTCTTTTTTTTTTAATATTTATTTATTATGTATATTCTGTCTGCATGTATGCCTGCAGGCCAGAAGAGGGCATCAGATCTCATTTCAGATGGTTGTGAGCCACCATGTGGTTGCTGGGAATTGAACTCAGGACCTTTGGAAGACCAGGCAATGCTCTTAACCACTGAGCCATCTCTCCAGCCCCCCTGACTGGCTCTTTTAACTTAGCCTATTTTTATCTTTCGCCTTGGGGTTTTTTATTTTTCTTCCCATATATCTTAACCTTCACTGCTTCTTGTGTCTAGTTGGTGGACCCAAGCATGTCCCTTTCCTTCTCTCTCATTCCTAGGATTTCTATTTATTCTCTCTGCCCTCCAGCCCTGCCTATCCCTCTCCTGCCTAGCTATTGGCCGTTCAGCTTTTTATTAGACCAATCAAGTGCCTTAGGCAGGCAAGGTGAAACAAATAAACACATCTTTACAGAATTAAACAAATATAGTATAAACAAATGTAACATCTTTACACAGCTAAAATAATATTCCACAACAGCTCACAACCACAATTCCAGTTCTAGGGGATCTAGTGCCCTCTTCTGGCCACAGTGAGCACCAGGAACATTCACAATACACACCTTTTATCTCAGTACTTGGGAGGCAGAGGCAGGTAGATTTCTCTGAGTTCCAGGCCAGAAGGAAAGATAGAAAAGGATGAAGGAAGGAAGGGAAAGGTGGGTGGAGTGTAATGAAAAATCTGTGTCCATGCTCATTACAGTGGAGTTCCTTGCCTTGGCTTCTCAGAAACAAAGTCTCAGGAGTGACTCCCTCGCCACACATGTGCTTCCTCCCAACTTTGCCCTCCATCCCTTTCCCTGCACCTTTTTTTTTGTTTTTTGTTTTTTCGAGACAGGGTTTCTCTGTAGCTTTGGAGCCTGTCCTGGAACTAGCTCTTGTAGACCAGGCTGGTCTTGAACTCACAGAGATCCGTCTGCCTCTGCCTCCTGAGTGCTGGGATTAAAGGCGTGCGCCACCATCGCCCGGCTTCCCTGTACCTTTTTGTAAACACTTGCATCTCTAGGGCTTCTTCAAGACAATGTGTAAAAATCCACATCGGTGCATTGTTGATGTCTAAGGATGGGGAGCATCTCTAACGTATGTCTCATTTTGTACCGCAGAGTTTGTGTTTAACACAAAGCAGGCCTTTAAAGAAGCCAGAGAAGGGCTAGAGAGATGGCTCAGTGGTTAAGAGCATTGTCTGCTCTTCCAAAAGTCCTGAGTTCAATTCCCAGCAACCATATGGTGGCTCACAACCATCTGTAATGAGATCTGGCGCCCTCTTCTGGCGTGTGGGCATGCAGGCAGAATGTTGTATATATAATAAATCTTTTTTTTTTTTTAAAAATTTATTATATATACAATATTCTGTCTGTGTGTCTTCTGAAGGCCAGAAGAGGGCACCAGACCCCATTACAGATGGTTGTCAGTCACCATGTGGTTGCTGGGAATTGAACTCAGGACCTTTGGAAGAGCAGGCAATGCTCTTAATCACTGAGCCATCTCTCTAGCCCCTACATAATAAATCTTAAAAAAAAAAAAAAGCCAGAGAGACCTTGCCCAACTAACTAGGCTTTTCCTGCTCACAAACAGAAGTTTTAGAAGCATCTTGTCTGTCCCCAGGCAAAAAGCAAAAGTCTTTTACTTTGCTACTCACTGGGCAGGAGCTAAGTGATTATGACTGAGGATAGCTATTTGACCCAACAAAACCATAAACTTACTCAAAGTATGAATGCTTTTGCTGTTTTTTGGGGAATTTAATTTTTATTTCAATAGTTTCAATAATGTGTATGTGTGTCCCTGTGTGTGGGTAAGTGCACATGAATGTAGGTGCTGGCAGAGGCCATAGGTGGTAGATTTTCTGGTGTCGGTTACAGGGGTTTGTAAGTCACTTGATTTGGGTGCTGGGAATCAAACCCAGGTCTTTTAGAAGAGCAGCCAGTGCTCTCTACAGCTGAGACATCTCTCCAGGGCCCCCACATACACCCTTTAACTCAATTACACGGATCTTGAGTGTGACCTTTATAGATGACAAATTGGTTACAATGTGATATAGTTGAAACACCTCACAGCCCCGAAATGTCCTAATCCAATTTTGGGAAACACTTGGGTGTCCTCCATTTGATAAGGTTGATCAACAAACCAGAACAGGAACTGTCTGAATGAGTGGCCCTGCAAATTCCAGGCAACGAGAGAAACAGAACTGATTTGACTTCCCAAATAAATGTGCATTCGGTGCTAGGGATTGCATTCAAGACTCGCATACCAAACAGCATGCTCTCTGCGCCAGTGCTGCACCCCCAGTCCTGAGTGTCCTCTTCTGCTCACAGGCAGGTCCTGAGCCACAGAGGAAGACAAGACCAGTTTTCAGTCCTGGCCACATTTCTCAGACAGTTTGACTGCATTTGTGTACAAGTGTGGATTGTGAACCACACTTAAGCAACCGATAAAAAAGCTGCTGTACCACGTTAGGGTAAAATTTGGGCATGCTTTCCACCAAGTTGGATGCAGTGAAGAAGTATCTGGTGTCATTAGTGCCGCCACACCTATATTGATAATGTTCAAGACCCAAAGGGGTCGTCACCAAGATGTTGTATGACAAAGTTTTTCCTGGGAAGACACAACATATGTGTCTACCCACCCCAGGTAAGGAGCCCATGACAGACCACAGTACAAATACCACCAAAGTCCAACTTGGTGAACTAATGAGTTTTACTAGGGTTACTTACAGGAGCAAAAATGATTCAAAGCAGCTGTGTCACAAGGCCATCCCAGCACAGTGACAGTTCACAAAAGCTGGGAACCTGGAGCACACTACACAGCGTGCAAGCCACTTGACAGGTTGGAAAGAGTCATAGTCCTTTTCAGGTGATTCAGTTGGTCTCTGCCTTTGCCACGGCAGCTGTTCTGGTCCCCAGAGTCTTCTGCAGCTCTGCTTGCTAGAGAAGGACTCTTGGCTTCTATTGCTTACTCTGGCGGGGAGGGGCCTACAGAATCTGGTCAGTTTCAGGTACTTCCTGAAACTATCTTGAGTTGTTTACCTTCCTGCTTAAGAAACTTCCCTGCAGGGAAGAATGTTTCAGTCTTGAGGAAACTGTTAAACAAGAGGGGAAAGCTTTTCGGAAAAGGGAGTGGACTAGGGAGGCCATTGGCCAAATGGGTCACAGTCACCCTTTTATGGAGCCAGAGGGTGCACAAATTGAGAAGGACAAAATGGGAAATGTGCCAAGGGAGAGGCAGGAGGGGTGTGGAAATCCACTCCTGTCAGTCACAGGCAAGTACAGAAGGCTTTGAAGAACTCACCCTTCCTTCCACGCCCAGCCTTTGCCCTCTCCCCCTGCTTCCATTTCGGAAAGTCTGAAGCACGCTTGGAAAGCTGTTCTCTACTTTCTTCTCTTCCTCCCCCTTTTCTGCTCTTCCAGCTGCTCGACCTCTTGCATAACAGAGAGAGAGAGAGAGCACTGAGCTTGCTGATGGGCTCCAGATGTGAAGTGGGATGAGCGAGAGTGGAGGGGTGGGGGTGGGAGGTCTTCAGTCCCTTGAGTGCTGGAAGTGTGGGAACATAGAGGCCGGACATAGCAGGAGATAGGACGAATTTCACAGAGCCTTGATCATGGGATCAGCTGGTGCTTGCACTGCAAGGACACTGAGAAAAGGGTTTTTTTTTTTTTTTTAAACCCCTGCCTCAGCACCATCTGCCTCCAGCAGGTTTAATCATTGTTTGACAGTCCTCACCATGTCAATAAACAGCAACCGGAGATTAAGAAAAAGAATGAAGAGTTCAAGATACCCCAGTCTGAGCCCCCTCTCCAAATGCTAGGTCTTCACATATGGAACAAGAGAATTTTATTTTCTCCTTTTGCTCAGAAACACTAAAATCAGCTGGAAGGTTGGCTATGGTTGAAATTTTGTTCCATGAGCCTCACATAACACAGAGGTAGAAAGAGGCTTACTGCACAAATCTTGGGCCTTCCTGGTCCCCAGCATGTATGTCTCACCTCGTTAGCTGAAGTAGGTAGCAGGTGGGATTCTGCCCTCCCTCTCGTCCACTGCTTGGCTGTTTCCCGCTCAGCTGTGTGTCAGTCCCCCACTCCCCAAACACACACACACTAATGCCAATCCTGTCAATGAGTGACCAGATTCCTGCGGTTCAGTCTCCTGCCATTCCTGAGTAAGGGAGAGAGGGCAGAAGACGAAAGCCACTGGATCAGAACAGGGCTTGTCCATTTCCAAAACTGTTCTCTAACCCATCCCGTCTGGAATTTAGGCCAGCCTTGGGGGCTTCCTGCTTCTTCCTGCACTGAGGAAGAGTGTCTGCCAATCCTTCAGTGCGGGTTAAAGAGGCCCAGTCTAGTTGAGTTCAGCTCCCGCGGGGCCTCCCAGCGGTCTCCTGAGGCGAGAGCAGGCTTTGCAAGGTAGGCTCCACTGTCAGCTTGGATTTCGGGGTGGGGGTTGAATTGGCGAATGACTTCACCAGCGGTTTATAGACTGCTCCCCTCTTTTCTTTCTCACTAACTCTCACTCCTCAGCCAACTTAGTGTCTTTCTACCCTGCCTCCAGCTCTGTCGGTCTGTAACCCAACAGGTCTGTGATGGAGGTGACTCTAAGCGGGCAAAGAGGACGACTCCATTCCGCTTTCCGGGGTCCTGTAGTTGGCACCACACTTTAACGTGCCTTCCTGATAATTTCTGAGGCCTGCTGTGCAATTATTCTGTCTACAGCTCTATATGATGGGGCTTGGAATAGGAAAGGAGACGGAGGGACTGACAGGGGAAAGACCTGGGTGCCCTCGGTAGATGTTCCGAGAGAAACGTTGAGAATGTGGCAGGGTGGGGCTCACTGGGAGTCAGTGGAAGATTCAAGCATTTTGGGTAGGAGTGGGTAATGAAGAGCCTCGAGGCCCAGAGTGGAGGGTGGTCTAGGAGGGTCGAAAGGGAAGGGCAGGAGGGGAGGGTGTGTACGGTAGTGGCCGCGGTGGTGGAGGAAAACCCAGCTGTACGGATGAACAAAGCGGGCGCTGTGCAGGCGGGGGAGGTGCTGCTGTGGGAAAGGCAGGGTGGGGGCTTTGGGTTCCAGCCCCACAAGGGCGTCTTCTCTAGCTGGCCAGGCGGACAGGACGGGATGGGGGCGGGGACTCGCGGGAGGGGGGCGGGACAGGCTCCCTCTCCTCCTACTCAGCTGGCTCCTGTGGAAAAGCAACAGTGTCCTCCCTAGCCAGCCGGAGGCCGCCGCGGCCCAGACGGGCAAAGGGACCGGTGTCCCCCCCCCTCCTAACTCCCCACAAGGTAAGCCTTGTGCCTTGGGGTTCCATTCGTCGTATATAGCTGGGTCTGCAGAAGGGAAAGTCCCCGGGACCAGACGAGGTCAGTTCTGGCCCAGAGAGCTGGGTAGAAAGGTAAAAGAGGGGCCATGCCAGGTGAGTGCGTCGGCGGAAGGGGCTTTGTGGGCCGCTCTGCGAGAACTGCTTGCTTTTGCCCTTCCCAGTCATTGCCAGCGCCACCGCCAGAGGGGGCCCTGGTACCCTGCGGAGGGACCCCCCCGAATTTGCGGGATCTCGATTCTCCTGTGGGCACCCCGACGGTCAGTGTCCCACACTCGCAGAGTCTCGGGTGGGGTAGGCGCGCGTGTACTTGTCGACAGCATCCCACTTGATCCATCTCCACAGCCTAAGGGCCATAGGAAGGGGGATCCCCTGGGCGTCTCCACTCTTGTCCCAGGGCCAGCTTCCTGGATGGACTTAAAGATGTGGAGTCCAGCTCTGAGGCGTGGGAGTCAGGAAGGGATCCTGGGGTTTCCACGTCTAGGGTCTCCTGGGCACTCTTCCAGGACCCCCGTGTCTTTGAGGGTCCCAGAAGCCTCCAAGGGCGACCTGGGATGACTGAGCCGCGTGCTGTCGCTCCGCCTCCACGGTCTGGATCCAAAAGCGTCGCGGAGTTCCCCCACAGAGGCCGAGCCCCGTCATCCGGCTCCCCCGGGACGGGGGAAGCGGGGCAGTCGGCTGGGTGGGGGACGCTTTCTGCTCAAGCCAGCGCAGCGGGGACTTGGCCGGCAACCGCGCAGCCCCGCGGGAGACCCAGGGAGCCCGGGTGGGGCTGCATTCTGGGCCCGTTAGCTCAGCGGTCCCGGAGGCTCCCGGGGACTGACTCATCACCCCATAGCGGTCACACAAACAAGACTGGCCACCAACTCGAGCATCCGCACAGCTCCCACGCACAGCATCCCATGCCTCACCTCCGTCCACCCGCAAGACACGTCACACCCCGACAGCCCAGTGTCACACCATCGGTGCACACGCGAATCCCTCACATGAGCCTCGACTTCACTACACACTCGGTACACTTCACACCACGCACTCCACGCGCGGGAAAGTTTTGCCTGAGCAGGCGGCTCCACTCAACACGCAGCCTCCCGCGGACACGTACCTCCCTCCACACACCAGCCCCCTTCCTGCAGCTGCGAGGCCGCCCCCTTTCCCTACCATGCAAACAAGCGACTTCTTCTCCCGGCCCTGCTGAAGAAAGGCCGCTTGTCCCGGTCCGGGCGGGCGGGGCGGCCACAGCAGGCGGCCCAACACTGCAGCCTTGTCCCACCCGGTGGCCCGGGGAGGGGCAGGCCTCTGTGTGCGGTGCACCTTTGCAGCGTCTCTCCCCAGTACCCACCCCATCTGCTCTTTATTCCTAGCTGTCATCTCCGTCCCGGGTTGTCCACGTCTCTCCCGCTTTTGGGGCTCCCTCTTTTCCCACCTGCCTCACAGTTTTCCCCTTCAAGATGCTCTGAAGTGCCTAGTTCTTCCTCTGCCACCTCTTCTACTTATGGACCACATCCTTAATCAAGCACGCACACACACACACACACACACACACACACACACGCATGCGCGTGCTTCTGAGGGGTCTCTGGGCCTCCCCCACAGTCTCTTCTGAGCTCACTGTCTCGTCCCCAGCAATGCCATTATTTTTTGAGACAAGGTCTCATGTAGCCCAGGCCTAGGCTGGCCTTGAATGGCTGCTATTCCTGTAGTCACATCCGGAGTAGTGCGAACTGGGTTTACAGGCTTGTACCACCAAGCTCTCCTAGCCAGCTTTCGGTTTTTCCTCCTCTCCTGGCTCTTGATTTCACACTCCAAATCCCTGCGCTTCTTTGATTCCCTTTTTTTCCTCTGCCTATTTTTCTTATTTCTAATTTCTTCTCTACATGCCTGGTCCGTGGATAATCCCGCCCCACCTCTCCTGGGCAATCTGCCCGCCCAGCCTCAGTTTCCTTCCTGTCCAGATTCCTTCCTCTGCGGGTGGCCCTTCTTCGAGGGCAGACAGGAGCAGGGAAAACGAAAGTCACTATGACCTTTAAAGGCCTTGGCCGACAGTTCTGCACTGACCGTTGCATTTCACTGGCTGGCCCTGTAGGACTCAGATGAGGGCAGGGGGCCTGGCCTTTTGCTCCAAGGCTTTGGACCTTTCATCTTGGGACTCCGGAGCCCAGGGCCGAGCTGGTTGACACTCTCCAGGACTCCCTTTCCCGTTATTCAAGTGCCAAGGCCTGCATACAGGTGTCAGTGTTGTTGGCTGTTGGCACATCAGGGATGGGATGCGGTTACCTATGAGAGTCCCCAGCCCTGGTACTCTAGGGCCTCATTTCTAAGTTCACAATAGCCACACAGCATGGCCCCTGTCGCCTTCCTGGCTAGGAGGTGCTTGGGCATCTGCATGTGGATGCAGGAAACCAGGCCTGCTCCTCAGAAGTGGAAACCACACCACAAGGGCTCTTTTTCTTTTCTTTTCTTTTCTTTTTCTTTCTTTTTTTTTTTTTTTTTTTTTGGCACCTGGGCACAGCTGAGTTTTCAAGAAGTGCCCTACAGAGTGGGTAATTACAGCCCTAGATATAGATAGCCTTCCTGTGGGACCATAATGAATTAGTCAGGGGAGGGTGTCAGGGGACAGCACTGCTTCTCCAAGGGACAAGGGATTAGGGTCATAGAAAAGGGCTTCTGGGCTGGGCGGTGGTGGCGCACACCTTTAATCCCAGCCCTCGGGAGGTAGAGGCAGGTGGATCTTTGTGAGTTCGAGGCCAGCCTAGTCTATAAGAGCTAGTTCCACGACAGGCTCCAAAGCTACAGAGAAACCCTGTCTCNGGTGCTTGGGCATCTGCATGTGGATGCAGGAAACCAGGCCTGCTCCTCAGAAGTGGAAACCACACCACAAGGGCTCTTTTTCTTTTCTTTTCTTTTTCTTTCTTTCTTTTTTTTTTTTTTTTTTTGGCACCTGGGCACAGCTGAGTTTTCAAGTCTATAAGAGCTAGTTCCACGACAGGCTCCAAAGCTACAGAGAAACCCTGTCTCAAAAAAAAAAAAAAAGAAAGAAAGAAAGAAAGAAAAAAAGAAAAGAAAAGGGCTCCTGGGCCGCCGTGAAATCCCTATGTCAAGGCACCTTCTGAGCCTGGGTCAGGTTGGTCTGGTGTCTTTTTCCTGTGCTGTGGGTTAGGTTTCTGAGCTGAAGCCATAGACTGGCACTTTCCAATTGCTGTGTGGTTTCTTATCTTCCTCTACACCTCTCCTTATCTCTCCCTCTCATTTCAACCTCTTATTCCCTTCTCACTTCTCCTTGAGCCGCTCTTATTCCCTCACTAACCTAATTCCTTTGCAGTCTTTATCTCCAGTTGAGTTTTTTCAGTGTAAGTAAGAGCTTCGCAGGGTGACAATAACAGGTACTCCAGTATGACAGACGAGGAAACTTAGGCCTAGACCTGTGTGCCTTCCACAGCTAATCATAGCTGCTGTTTTTAGATTGCTCCGCAGTTCATGGAGTGTGATTTAGTATACTGCCTGGACCTTCAGATAATCTTTAATTTTTAAAGCAATTTAAATTTGTGTCTCGTGTATATGCTGCTTTGCTTGCATGTATGTCTGTGCCTCAGGTATGTGTCTGGAGCTCACGGAGGCCAGAAGAGGGCATGGGATCCCTGGAACTGGAGTTGCCAACAGTTGTGGGCTACCATGTAGATGCTGGGAACTTAACTCTCATCTTTTGGGAAAGCAACAGGCGCTCTTAGCCGAAGAGCTATTTCTCCAGCTCCCAATCTCTCTTCTCACTGCTTTTCTCTAGGAATAATCTGTGGAGCACAAAATCAACCCAACCGATGTGTGCAGTTATTTTTTAGTTTACTTACAGAGCTACGCAACCATGGTTGAGTCTTAAGTTTTAGGACTTTCCTGTTGCAGGCTGGGAAGATGGCTCTTCACCAGTGAAAATGGCTGCTGCTCAGACATGCAGACCTAAACTCAAATTCCCAGTACCAGTGTCTGTAACTCCAGAGCTGGGAGCATGGGGAGGCAGGAGGATTGCTGGGGTTTGATGGCCACCAACACAGTTCAGATTCAGTGAGATAGCCCGGCTTGGGGGAATAACTCAGATAGTCAGCACAGACCTGAAGTCTTCCTCTGGCCTCTGCACACGTGTTCCTAGACACACATGTGCACACGTTACACCCCATTCACACACAGAAAGAACATTTCTTTTGCACACAGCGCCTTAAAAATCTTGTGCCTATTCAATCTATCTCTGTTCTACTAGCCCCAGGCAAGTGCTGTTCTGGACAAGCCCTGGTCTGGCTAGTTTTCCTTTAATTATTATCATTACTCTTGTTTTATAGAAGATTGATTCGACAATGAGAGGCGATTAATGACTTACCCAATCCAGGAGTGCTGACTTACCTGACTGGTGTAAACCCAGCAATTGGGAGGGGAAAAAAACAGGATTTCTGGACCAGCCTGGCTGCATAATAAGCTGTAGGTCAGCTACAGACTGAGACCCTGTCCCAGCTAACAAGCAACAACAAAAACTATCCCAGGGTCCTGGGGTTAATAGCCCATTGGGCAGAATGTTTGCCAAGCATACAAAAAGCCCTGGAGATAGCTGGTGGTGGCACATGTCTTTACTCTCTAAAGAAAGAAAGACAGACAGACAGACAGACAGACGGATGGACAGACCTATAGTATTCTGTCTTCAGAAACTCCCCTGTAGTCAGTGCTTCTGCAGAGCAGCCAGGCCAGTGTGGGGTTTTGTGTGTTAGTGACCTCTGTCTTCCCTCTTCCCAGGCAGTCCTGGGGTGGGTCCCAGGCACTGTTCCTGCCTCTTTTCTGCCAAGTTGGGTGGAAATGGTGACAGAGATGATGAAGGCCAGGCCAGGAAGGGTGGAAGTGGGAAGGGTAAATTTAGTAACTCCGTGGCTGAGGGCCTGAGAGACCCACTGCCAGGAACAGGCGCTCCTTGGAATGTAGGCTCCACCTCTGCTTCCTTTGCAAGGCACCTGTCTGGTAGCTGGAAGAGAAAGTGGAAGGAAGCCTTGATGAGTTGGCAGCGTGTGTTCATACGCAGAGGTCAGATACCAAAAGCATAAGCCTGGGCACCAGGAATGGGCAATGGTGGCCGAAGGCCTGGATGTCCGGGTTACACAGCTCTAACAGCTGCCATTTCCAGAATGCTTTGCACCTCCCGGGGTGCAACCTAGTCTACTACTTGGTCTTCAAACACTTTATAAAAAAGTAACAACAGATCTATCTAGGGGTAATAGAGAGGCAGGGGGTTCAAGTTTGGGCTCTGGAATCTGCTTCTGGTTCCTCTAACACCAAGCCCTTGAAGAGCCCCAGCGTCTTCCACTCCCAATACTGAGATTTTATAGCTGGTGATTTTAGGAGAGGTGGCTCTCTGTGAAAGAAAAGGGGCAGGAGCTGAGACGTACAGACACGAAAGGAATGCCGGGTTTGCCTTATCTGTCTCCTTTAAGGAAACATCCTATTGAGACCCTTGGGAAAAGAGACAAAAGGAGAAGAGGAAGAGGAAAGGCTGGGGGAGGGGTTGCACTCAGCTCAGCCCTGGTACCCACCCGGCTGGTCCCTGGCTGTCAGTGTCCTTGGAGGGGCTTCCCTGGACTTTGTTCTTCTCTTGGTTGGCCCTCCCTGCTCTGTTTAAGACTCCAGATGACTGGGGGGTGGGGGTGGGGTAGGTGTCCTCTACTGCTAAGTCCCGGGATCTGGGGAGTGTAGAGCAAGAACACACGGAAACATGAGTTAGAGTTCTAGGGCCGTTCGTGTTTGTGGTGGCAAGGATCAGGTCTGGCGCGGTGCAGTGCCCATGCTGTAGCTGGGAGCTGAATGGAGGCAGAGGTGTGTCGCCTCTGTTCCTCCCACCCCGAAGCTCCTTAGTTTCCCCCCCACCTTTCCTGTATGTGCACTGGGAATAGCAGCAGCTCATGCTTACTTTACTTTGAGAACCCTGTCACTGACCCATTTCTCTCCCTTTTCTTCCCTGACCTTCCCACTTACCTGCTTTTTGTTGTGTTCCCAGGAGCTGTGCAACCCTGGGACCATGGATACTCTAAACAGGAGCCAGCGAGGCCCTGCGTGCAAGCCCCAGGCTGTGGTGCAGGTAAGTGGGCCTGGGACTGTAGGGTAAGAGGGCTGCTAGTGAGAGTGGGTTCAGAGCTTTTCTTTTTTAAGTTTTATTTTTATTTTAAATTAGGTTTATGTGTGTGGTGGGTATGTGTGTATGAAGCGCAGGTACCCAAGGAGGTCAGGGGACACAGATAACTCTGGGCCTGGAATTACAGGGACTCGTGAGACCTTTGATGTGGATGCTGGGAATTGAACTTGGGTCCTCTGCAAGAGCAGAACACACTCTTAACCCACTGAATCCTTTCTCCACTCCTGGGTTCATCTCCTTCACCCATGCCCAAGTCCACAGATGAGATCGGAAGGATTTTGCCTGTTGTCTGTCCGTTCATCCGTTTGTCCCTAGTTGCAAGCCAGCTCATCTGAGTCAGGTTAATTGGTTCAGCGTGAACTGACTCTATGAAAGTCTGAAATGGGTTTACAGACTCCCTCTGGCAGGATCACTTAACTGATTTGTGCCTCCACCCTCCCCTGTAGTTCAGTTTAGCAGGAGCAAGCCACAGCCATATGGGTAGCCATACACAGCCTGCTAGATTGGTCCTCCTCGACTGCACCCCTTCCCACTAGGTACCGTGGTCCCTCCTTGTTTCTGTTTTAATAAAGGGGCAGTTGAGCATAGGCTTGAGATAAATCCAGCGGGGAGAGCTAGTGGTCCAGATTCAAAAGTAAGTAGAATTTGGTGCCGTAATGCTCTGTATAAGACCTTTGTGCTAAGACTTTCAGCAACCTCAGAGCCTTTTGGAGACTGGGAGTAGGGAGCTCAGGTCCCGGCCTGGAGTCTTTAAACCTAACTTTCCATCCAATTTGCCTGCAGAAAGGTCCACTGGACCTGATTGAGACAGGTAAAGGACTGAAAGTGCAGACGGACAAACCGCATCTGGTGAGCCTGGGCAGCGGGAGGCTCAGCACCGCTATCACGCTCCTGCCGCTGGAGGAAGGTGAGCATAGCACCTGCCCTCTCCATCACCCAGTGCACTCCTGCCCCGGAGGCTGTAGTGTGGGGTCCCTTCTGCCTTGTGCAAGCCTTGTTCGCCTCCTCTGCCTCCTTGACTGCCTTCTTTGGCAGATAAACTGACTCCGTGGCTGGGATTAAAGATCAGCTTAGAATCAAGGAAGAGTGGAGGGAGAAAGAAGGAAGTGGGTTGATCTTAGTAATCTATGGGAGTCGCCACCCCTTGCTCCAGGATGATGCCTGGCATAGGAGATGGCGGTGTGGAACATGAAAAGATGGGAACCAAGGACACAGACCCTCAGAGGAGACCCTGGCATGGCTTTTGCCTGCCTTTCTCCCTTTCCTGGCTGCACCTGTTGCCTGGGTGATACTGGATTCTCCACATTCTCCAAATGCCAGTCTCAGAGGCTCTACCAGGGACGGATGCAGGGGAGAGGCTGCACTGGCTGGCTAGAGAAAGGGCTGGAGAGAGGAAGGGAGGGGGAGGTCCCTGGTAACAGAAGGACTTGAGAGAGAAGGGCATTTCTAAGAAAACAGGAGTAGGGGGGAGGAGGAAAAGGAGGAAGCCAGTGAGACATTCGGGGAAACAGAGAAGGTTCCCTCTCTGCTGCCGGGATGTCTGGGTTCTGTGGCCTCTCTGGATCATTCTACCCAGACAGAGTTTTCGCTGCTTGGGAGGAGTTTCTACCACTTGCTGGCTCCAGCGACGGGTGACCAGAACAGGGCAGAGTCTCGACATAAGTAGGAGCTAGAGAGATATTTGCACAGTGGCCCCCTTACTCTCTGCTTGACTTCTTAGTCTGGATGACCGTTCTGACTCAGTTTGCCTCTGTCTCCAGGGAGGACAGTTATTGGTTCGGCAGCCAGGGATATCTCACTCCAGGGTCCAGGCCTGGCTCCTGAACACTGCTACATCGAGAATCTGAGGGGCACTCTCACCCTGTACCCCTGTGGCAATGCCTGCACAATTGATGGGCTCCCTGTTCGGCAGCCTACCCGGCTCACTCAGGGTAAGGTTTGGTATCTCCACACCAGTAAGCAGGTTAGATTACGGGGGAGCCTGCCGCC